CTATAACCCATTGATCATTCAGTAACCTATTGTTCATTCTCCAAGTGATGTATTCTTTTCCCTTCCTTCTTTTATCGTTGATTTTCAGTTCCATTCCATTATGATCAGATAGGATGCATGGTATTATCTCTACTCCTTTATATTGTCTAAGAGTTGCCCTGTGACATAATATATGATCTATTTTTGAGAAGGATCCATGTGCTGCTGAGAAAAAAGTGTAACTGCTTGATGTTGGGTGGTATATTCTATATATGTCAATTAAGTCTAGGTTATTAATTGTGTTATTGAGTTCTATAGTTTCCTTATTCAACTTTTGTTTGGAAGATCTGTCCAGTGGTGATAGAGGTGTGTTGAAGTCTCCCATGATTATTGTATGGTGGTCAATTAGACTCTTGAACTTGAGAAGAGTTTGTTTGATGAACATAGCTGCACCATTGTTTGGGGCATATATATTTATGATTGTTATGTCTTGTTGGTGTATGGTTCCCTTGAGCAGTATGTAGTGTCCCTCTTTATCCCTTTTGATTAACTTTGGCTTGAAATCTATTTTATTTGATATGAGTATGGATACTCCTGCTTGTTTCCGAAGTCCATATGAGTGATATGATTTTTCCCAACCTTTCACCTTCAGCCTATGTATGTCTTTTCCTATCAAATGCGTCTCCTGTAGGCAGCATATTGTTGGGTCTTGTTTTGTGATCCATTCTACTAGCCTGTGTCTCTTGATTGGTGAGTTTAAGCCATTAACATTTAGGGTTATTATTGAGATATGGGTTGTTCTTCCAGCCATATTTGTTTATTTATGTTACTAAACATGGTTTGTTTTCCTCTTTGATTATTTTCCCCCCTTTAGTGTCCTACCTCCCACTGTTGGTTTTCATTGTTATTTTCCATTTCCTCTTCCTGTAATGTTTTGCCAAGGATGTTTTGAAGAGATGGTTTTCTAGCTGCAAATTCTTTTAACTTTTGTTTATCGTGGAAGGTTTTAATTTCATCTTCCATCCTGAAGCTTAATTTCGCTGGAAACACAATTCTTGGTTGGAACCCATTTTCTTTCAGTGTTTGAAATATGTTATTCCAGGATCTTCTAGCTTTCAGAGTCTGTGTTGAAAGATCAGCTGTTATCCTGAGTGGCTTACCCCTAAATGTGGTCTGCTTCCTTTCTCTTGTAGCTTTTAAAATTCTCTCCTTATTCTGTATGTTGGGCATCTTCATTATAATGTGTGGGTCTCTTATGATTTTGCACATTCGGCGTCCTGTAGGCTTCTAGGATTTGGGGTTCTGTCTCATTCTTCAAGTCTGGGAAGTTTTCTCATATTATTTCATTGAATAGATTGCTCATTCCTTTGGTTTGAAACTCTGTCCCTTCCTGTATCCCAATGACTCTTAAATTTGGTCTCTTGATGTTATCCCATATTTCTTGGATGTTCTGCTCATGGTTTCTTAACAGTCTTGCTGAGCTGTCTATGTTCTTTTCAAGTTGAAATACTTTATCTTCATTGTCTGATGTTCTGTCTTCTAAGTGTTCTACTCTGCTGGTAGTATTCTCAATTGAGTTTTTAAGTTGGCTTATTGCTTCCTGCATTTCTAGGATTTCTGTTTGTTTGTTTTTTATAACCTCTATTTCCCTGTATACTTGATCTTTTGCTTCTTGGATTTGTTTATGTAATTCATTGTTGAAGTGATCTTTCATTGTCTGATTTTGCTGTCTGATGTCTTCCTTGAGACTCCAGATCATCTGAAGCATGTATATCCTGAATTCTTTATCTGACATTCCATCTGCTGCAGCTATTACCTCTTCCAACGTTGAGTTGACCTGCAATGCTTGTGGTCCTTTCTTTCCTTGTCTCTTCATACTGTTCGCGTTCCTTTCTACTTGGTGAAACTGTTGTGCTATTGAATTTTCCCCCTATATATTTATATTGGTCTTGTATAGTTGCAAAGTCTCCCTCGCAGGCGCGGGCGGCGGCTCTGTCCCTCTGCGGGCCGCTAGGCTTGTTCTGTCGGTGGTCACAGTTCTGTCTACTTTGCAGGCGCAGGCAGCGGCACTGCCCCTCTGCAGGCCTCTGGGGCTGTACTGCCACTGGGTCGCAGGTCCGCCTACCTTGCAGGCGCGGGGGGGGGGAGGGCGGCTCTACCCTTCCTCAGGCCACTGGGCCTGTTCTGTCTCTCGGTTGCAGGTCTGGCCTGTTCTGATGATGGTCACAGTTCCGTCTACCTTGCAGGCGCGGGGGGAGGGGGCGGCTCTGCCTCTCAGCAGGCCGCTGCTCCTCTTCTGCCGGTGGGTCGCAGGCCCGCCTACCTTGCAGGAGTGATTGGAAGCTCTGCCACTCCGCGGGCCACTGGGCCTTTTCTGTCGGTGGTCACAGTTCCCCTACCTGGCAGGCGCGGGGGGTGTGGGGCGGCTCTGCCCCTCAGCAGGCCGCTGGGCCTGCTCTGTGCATGGTCACAGTTCCCTCTACTTTGCCGGCACAGGGGGAGGGGGCGGCTCAGCCTCTCAGCAGGCCACTGCTCCTCTTCTGCCGGTGGGTCGCAGGCCCGCCTACCTTGCAGGAGTGATTGGAAGCTCTGTCCCGCCGCGGGCCACTGGGCCTTTTCTGTCGGTGGTCACCGTTCCACCTACCTGGGAGGCGCAGGGGGTGGGGGGCGGCTCTGCCCCTCAGAAGGCCGCTGGGCCTGCTCTCTGTGTGGTCACAGTTCCCTCTACCTTGCCGGTACAGGGGGAGAGGGCGGCTCTGCCTATCAGCAGGCCGCTGCTCCTCTTCTGCTGGTGGGTCGCAGGCCCGCCTACCTTGCAGGAGTGATTGGAAGCTCTGTCCCGCCGCGGGCCACTGGGCCTTTTCTGTCCGTGGTCACAGTTCCACCTACCTGGCAGGCGCGGGGGGAGGGGGGCGGCTCTGCCCCTCAGCAGGCCGCTGGGCCTGCTCTGTGCGTGGTCACAGTTCCCTCTACCTTGCCGGTGCAGGGGGAGGGGGCGGCTCTGCCTCTCAGCAGGCCGCTGCTCCTCTTCTGCCGGTGGGTTGCAGGCCCGCCTACCTTGCAGGAGTGATTGGAAGCTCTGTCCCGCCGCGGGCCACTGGGCCTTTTCTGTCCGTGGTCACAGTTCCCCTACCTGGCAGGCGCGGGGGGTGGGGGGCGGCTCTGCCCCTCAGCAGGCCGCTGGGCCTGCTCTGTGCGTGGTCACAGTTCCCTCTACCTTGCCGGTGCCCCCACATAATATTCTTATGAGAAGGAAGCAGAGAAAGATCTGACGACAGAAGCGTAATGACATATGACAATAGAAGAAAGGGGTTGGAATGATGCAAGAAAGAGATGAAGATGCCAGCAACTTCTAGAAGCTAAAAAAGGAAACAGATTCTCCCTCAAAGCCTTCAGGAGGACCCAGGCCTGGTGAATTCTTCACTTTGGCCCAGTGAGACTGACTTAGCCTTCTAATTTTCAGAATTGTAAGCGAATGCATGCCTGTGGCTTTAGGTCAGTAAATGTGTAGTCATTTGTTACTGCAGCCATAACTAATATAGTCAGTGCCACAAGTCCACACCGCTGACCCTGGTGCCCTCCACATCATGGTAAATGGTACTTTTACTCATCCACTGGCTGAGACCAGAAGCTTCAGAGTGGTCCAGATATTTCTCTTTGCTCACACCTCTCCTGTCAGCAGGTCTGTCAGATCTTCCTCCAGCATACATCCTGCCTCCAACAATGTCTCGCTGTCTCTGCAGCTATAACCCTAATCTTGGCTGCTCTCATTTCCAACCTGAGTTACTACATCACTTCCTTTAATTATCCCCTCCTACTCTTGTCCATGCCTGCACCAGAATGAATTTTCTGAAGGGTGAATCAGATTCCATCATTCCCCATAGTAAGCCTCTCAGTGGCTTCCCATTATACTCAGGATTAAATACAAATTCCTTGTCATGGCCTTAAAGACCCAACCATGGGTTGGCCTCTGTCCACTTTATCTCCCTGCACATTAAAACTCCTGGGCACGCAGACTTTCATTCTGACCCTTGTTCAATTCATCCCCGTCTCCTATCTTTGGCACTTGTATTTCCTACCCCTAGAGTACTCTCTAGATCTTTGCAGAGGTCCCTCCTTGTCATTTAAGTTTTAACTTAAATATAACCACCTCTTTTCCAACTTGTTATAATAGGACCCTTGACTCAGTAGCCAGTGGCTAGCTAACCCTACTTTATTTTCCTTGTAGCATTTGTCAGCATCTGAAATAGTCTGGTTTCTGCCATACTGTGTGTCTCTTCACCTTAATGTAAGCTCTCTAAGGACAAGACACTGTCTCCATCACTGCAGTATATCCAGTGCTTGCACACAGTAGGCGCACACTATTGATTTGCCTTGTTGCCTGGTGTGGCCCATTTCCACTCTACCTCTGCCTCTGGTCAGTACAACTGTATTACCTTATCTCTCTAGGGGTTTTGTATTTCAGCAGCATTGGGCTATTTGTGCAAGGAACTAACCAGCAGAATTTCAGACTTCATTCAGCAGGTGTGGAATGACCACAGGGTTTCTTATATGCTGCTTTTAAAAGCACACAATTCATTCAACATCTGCTAAATACTGGGTGTGATGGGTATGTAATACAGGGAGGAAAAGATATTTATATTGTGCCTCAATGGAAGAATCTGGTTTGCATCAAGCCAAGAAGGAGGCAAATGGAGTCAGAGAGGTAGGCAAAGGCACTGCATGTCTATTTCATGACTTGGTGTGGTGGCCCCTCCACCTTCTCCCTACGGAAGGAAGACTTGTCCAGCCTAAGAAACTAGGCTTGACCTAGTGAGACTGACTTAAACTTCTGATGGGAAGAGAATCATGTGGCTCAGAGCTGGAAGGTAGATTTGAAGAATATAAACCAAACCAATAAATCCCATCTTACTCCAGGACCTGTATCTGTTTGTAAACTGGGGGAGACATTGGATTTCTCCTAGCAATGGCTCACCATCTCTTGCTTAGCTTTTGTTTTTCTCTTCTCCCTGTTGCCTCAGGTCTCATCATCCACGAGGGACCCTCTGTGTATCGCATCTTTAAAAGGTGGCAGGCTGTCAATCAACAGTGGAAAGTGCTGAACTATGACAAGGCAAAAGACCTAGAGGATCAAAAATCAGGAGGCAGGACAAACCTCCGGACCTCCTCATCTGTCCAGGCCAATGTCCCCTCCTCGGAAGAGGAGGCAGCCAGCAGCCCTGCCCCTGAAGAAGGCCCTGCCCGGGTTACCAGCCACCCCTCAGGCCCTCTGTCCAATCACCACTGTGCTTACACCATCCTGCACATCCTGAGTCACTTGAGACCTCATGAACAGCGGAGTCCCCAGGGCGGCAGCCGAGAGCTCGTCATGAGAGTCACGACAGTGTGACTGGAGAGCCCTGGGAGGAAGGGAGAGAATGCAGGAGACAGGTCGGGTGGGAGGGGCCAGGGAGCAGGTGTGGGGAGGCCAGAGCAGAAGGTGGTGGGCCTCGAGGAGCCCTGGAAAAGGGTGGAGCTGGATGGAGGCTGGCACCAGGAGCAGTTTTGTGATTTCCAGTCACTAGCATTTGCTAACAGCAACGGAAACCAGTACAAGCTCAGCACCATGGGCAATACAGACAGACAGAGCCTAACACAACGACCTCCCAGATGTATCCAGAGGTGCAGGAGGAGAGGCTGAGGGAGGGCAACACTGTCTGACTGGTGACGGTGCCTGCAGTACACAGGCCACAGAGAGAAAAGGCCAAGGTGACCAAGAGGAAGAGCATTTGAAGCCTGCTCCGTTTCATCCTTGACCTTGTTTCTGTTTCTTCCTGGTCTGTGCTCCTAGGCAGTCGGGGGAGGGGGAGGGACATGTGGGCTGGTAGGGAGGACACACTGGCTTTGGGGTCTCTGGGCTCATCTTGTGGCAGAATTTTTTTGATGATTCAAATGGCTTTAGGGACCCTGGGATGGATGGCGCAGGGAGGGATATGTTGGTGTGAGTTACCAAGGGTATGTCTCCTCCCATGTGAACTTTCCCAGCTGGAACTTCCAATTTCAGGTGGGGTCAAAGAGGGTTTAGGTTTAAAGATGGGTGTCTGTCTGTGCCCTTGTTACTCTATTTCATGGTGATTTGATTCAAAGATGTTTACAGGACACACACACACACATGCACACACACCACGAGGAAAGTTTGATTACTGGTGGGTAACACAAGCACAGTCCTGCTGCTGTGGTTCAGCCTTCAATGCTGTCAATCCAAGAGAAACTTTCCCAACTACCCAGCCCACCCATGACCACTCAGGCTCAGTGCCATGCCTCTATAACCTGAACACAGGCACAGAAGGCCATCCCATATGTCCCCTCCCACCTGGGTCTCCCAGCACAGCTGCTGTGGTACGAGCAGAAGATGGCTGATGTACCCCAAGGTGAGAAATGGAAACCTGGTTAAGTATTCCCTACTGCTTGGGGACCCTCTCCGAAGAGGTGGTTTGGTTAGTACTCAGTGCTGTGTGCTCCCAGGTCCTTCCTGTGCAGCCAGGCAGGCCAAGGGTCCTGACAGGGAACACCATCTTTGGAGCCCACCTGCCGGTTCCTGGGACCCTGCCAGGGAAGGCCACTGGGTAGTCACTTGCAGAGTTTCTTGTTGTCGTTGCACAATGGCCACATCATCCTTGGGTATTAAAAGGACACTGTCAAGTACTTTTTTAAACTAGTTTTTAGGGTTTTTTAAAACTCTCTGTTGTTTGTAATATTCTCTTAAAGCTTGAAAATAAAATTTCTTTCCCTACCACTAGTGTCCCTTTCCATACTAGAATTCTTCCTTCTTCTTTCCCGTTCTCCCTCTGTGATATAACCTGCCTTCTTTTCCACGTTCTGTCTCCTTCACCCCCAGAGTCTCCTTTTAGCAGGAACTGCAGTGTTTTCATCTCTCCTGTGCGGGTACTGATGGAGCAAGGCAGACAGGTTTGCTCCTGTCAGCATGCAGCATGCGTGTGTGCGTGTGGCTTGTGTGTTTGTGTGTGTACCTACAGGAAAGCACTGTGACTCCAGCTTCTAGGTTTCCTTGCCCAGGAAAAATGCTCCAACTCTCCCAAGGATACAGCCAAGAAAACTAGAAGCTGGGACATTGTGCTGGAAGGAAGCTTGGGGTGTTCCAGCTCCATCCTGATGGGTCGTTTCACAGAAGCTGATGTAGCCTGAGGAGATGAGAGCAGGACCTCCTTCACCTGAGAGTTTCCCCTCAAATATCAGAGAAGAGCCCAAGTCAGGGTTCTGGGAGAGGTTAGACAGACCATGAACAGCAGACAAGCCCTCCTCTCCCTTTATCCTGGCCTGGCCCTCCCTTCTTGGGGTCCACAGGTGGTCAGGCAGTGTTGTCAACAGAATGTGCACGGGTTTAGGAGGCTTCCTCCCCAGTTAAGCTTATAATTCAGAGGGTTAGAGCATAATTGGTAAGAGAACAGAAGACATACAAGGAAAACGTAAAACAAATGAAAACCAACAACACTGAACAGATAAGTTATTTTTGAATAATGGTCTAGGGACAGGCCATTCAGTTTAATGAAATATTATGAACACTATGGTTGTTTTACATGGATTATCCATTTTTAAAAACATATCAGAATGCAACAAAAATCTGCGTATCATCAGATATTGTGACCATTAAACTATCTTTGGTGATTTACAGGAACCTCAGAATACTGTGGACATTCATAGTTGTCCTTTGGAATCTGTGTTACTGAAGGACAGGCAATCAATGAAAAATTTTCATAGGATGCTAAAGTTTTCTGGTTCTTGAAGACACATACTCCAAAAGAGCCAGGATGTGATATGTCTTGTTCACTGCCATATAACCAGGACCTACAGTAGTGCCTGACACACAGTAGGGCTCAACAAACAATTATGAATAATAAGACACTCCTGGAAGAGTACAAGAGGATGTACCATCAGCACCAAGGAACCTACAGTGCTTTCTGTCTGCCAAACTCTATCCCAAACCTTCAACAACATTTTAACTCTAATTTAATTCTTCAAATCAATGAGAACTACCATCATTTTCATTTCGCAGGTAAGTAAAGTGAGACATAGAAAAGCTCAGCATAATTCCCAAAGTCATGGACCTATAAATGGCAACGTCCCAATTAATACCTTAGCAGCCTGGTAGCATGCATTGAGCTGTTAACCACTGTATCACACTGCCTTTTGGAAAAGCAGAAAGGCATTTACTAGGTTTGTCCTGATTCAAAAGGCCATAGAGGAAAATGAGTGAGTCCTACACCAGCTGGACATGACTCAGATGCCAGCCATGTCACATGCCTCCAACGGTCAACACAGGCCAGTTTCAACTTCTCTATCCCTTATCCAATGGAAAAGTTGATTCCTTCATCAGAGTTTCTAATAATTCAGACCTTTAAAATTTTTTTTCCCAGTTGCCTCCTACTCCAATATCTAGAATCTTCTGAATTCAGGATTTCCATTCCCTGTCTTCAACAATTCCTTTATTTGAACCCTGTTAAGCCCAAATGTTGGACATGATTCCTTCACATTGATTCTCCCTCCCCTCCAAATATTGGGCCTAACAGCTTTACTGGAAATCTGGAGGTAATTTGAGGTTTATTCACATTAAAACCTGTGGTGAGAAACTGCCATATGGAAGGTTCTTGCCAGGTGGGTGCCTCAAATATAAATGAGATAAACCACCTTCCAGGATCCCATTATCTAGTTATTAGATTAGTAAGAAGCCCAGCATTTCTCATCAAAACTTTTCCCACAAAAAAGCCTGGAAAGTTTATTCTTACTAACTGTAAATAAGTAAAGTAACATTCCTTTCCTGGGGAATTTGCATTTTTAAAAGGAGATAATGGGGTTGGGGTTGTAGCTCAGTGGTAGAGGGCTTGCCTATCACGTGTGAGGCACTGGATTCAATGCTCAGCACCACAAAAAAAAATTGATGAATAAAATTTTAAAAGGTATTGTGTCCATCTACAACTAAAAAAATATTTTTAAAAAAGGAGATAATGCTTAAGTAAGAGAAATGACTTTATAAGTGATGGAATTTCAATCATCCCCAAGTAGGTGGAGAGTTTGGCTGCATTCTTCGAACTAGGATGATCACTGCGTATATACATGCATTTGACACACAGACATGCATACAGGATGACATAAACACAGAGAGAACAACAAATACATCCCCTGAAAAGTACATGGAGTCAAGGCCTGTTGACTGAGCAGTCCTTCTGTATTCCTTGGGAAATCAAGACACCCAGGCAGCAGGTGGAAAGAGGCAGGAAGATCCTCTGAGCTCTGTAATATTGCTTGGTTTGAGCAGTCTCATTGTCTAGAGGCTGGATTTACAATAACTTCTGCTCAGCCAGTGACCATTCCAAGGGTGATTTGTTGAAGGGAGCCCTGTGCACCTTCCTTCCAGGAAGCTCTCTTTCTTCCAAGAAAAAGTGTAGAAATTCTGGAACTGCCACTGCCCTGAACATGCTGAGTCTATACCTGCCCAGTGAATCATGGTGACTTTATTGTAAGTGCTAGTCCCTCCTTCAAAAGCCTCAAGGCTGAAGCATCACCTCATATCAGCCCTTTCTCCTCAAGTCATTTCAATGGATGTCTGTTGTTTTTGTCTGTCCATCACACAGAACCCTCTTCATGGGAAACCCAGGACAATTGGTTCTAGTAGGACAGAACCCCCATAACAATTCCTACCATCGAAGTGGGACTGTGATCCGGGCTTGGATAATTGAAGTGTCCCATTTCCCTGCCTATGGGGATTGGCTTAGAGATGGGCATGTGAACAAAGTCAGTGCGAGTCCTCCCTGGGACTTTTCCTTCAGGACTAGAGGGAAACACCATTTCCCTTCACAAATATTGCTGGCTGGGAGTCAGTAGGTCTGGGAAAATTTTCTGCCATATGGAAAGCACCTCTCTTAAAAATAAAGTCAAGTAGACACATATGGAGCAAAGAGGAGATGAAGATAGACCTGCCTCTCCTGGACTAGGCCAGTTTCTCCACTATATTTCTCAGGATAATAAATTCCACTGTAGCTTACATCATTCTGAACTGGATTTATGTCATTTGCAACAACAACAAAAATTCCATTATGAATGCAAAAATTTATAAATATCCTCATCACAAAACTTTGGGCTAAACCCGAAGGAGGTGTATTGGTTGAGAGGCCAAAGAAACTGGAATGAGTTGCCTCCCTCTCCTATGGAGTAGGGGCTCAAGTGTGTAAGGTGTTAGCATTTACAACCGTCATACTCCTTTAGTTCTCTTTATGAATCTGCTCAAAGTTACCAAATGATTAAATATGCACAATATGCACAGATAGATATGTACTTTTAAACAGTATCTTTTAAAAAATGTCTCAAGTTTACATCAGGGAGACAATGAAAAGACCTAAGATGAAAAATAGACAGACTTATTATCCTAAATCTGATTTAAGGGCTGAGAAGGAACATATAATGTCACATGATAGTAGTCTGGATTCCAAGATTCAGAGCGGAAGGTAAGAGCCAAAGCTGGGAGTAAGACCTTGATCCACTCAAAGTCAAAGGGGTTATCCATTATTCACCAAGGCATGGCCCCATACAGATGCCCTAAATCATATTATTCACTGAAAAATACAAGCTGCAGGACAATATATACAATGACTACACAGTTGTAGAGGAGTATCCCCCTCAAAAAAAAAAAAAAAAAGACAACCTCATCCACATAATATTTCAAAATGCCATACATCACAGGGGCAGGAAAGATGGTAGAATGAGATAGACATCATTACCCTAGGTACATGTATATACATGTATACACATACGTACATGTATATGCATATATGGTGCAGTGCTACATAGTGTATAATCAGAGAAATGAAAAGTTGTGCTGCAATTGCGAACAATGAATCAAAATGCATTCTGCTGTCATATATACTAATTAAAATAAATAAATTTTTAAAAATGCCATAGGTCACCTTACCATTATTAGTATTGTTCTTGCTAGGTTAAGCAAGCCACCATGAGTTCCTGACTTTAAGAATGATACTTATGGAAGCAACCAGAACTAGATCAGATCTTTTGTGAATGTGGGCAAGAAACAGCATTTTTAGTCTCTGGTTTCCTCATCTTTAAAATAAAAATAATCAATTCACCTCCCAGGACCTTTGTGATATCAAAAATAGAACATATAAAGTAGGCAGTGAATAAATGAGTCCTATTTATTGAATCATTACCATAGCATATAAAAAACAAGGTTAAATCAAAGCAAAAATGGGTACATGGCACCAATATTCTCTTTTAACTTATCACTCAGATATAAGTAACAAAATACCCAACTAGAAAGAACTAAAACAATTTAGGGCTTATTTTTCTTTTATAATTAGCCATCCGGAGTAGGTGGCTGCTGGTATCAATCTAACTGCTCAGCTATGTCACTAGCAATCCAGGCCCTTTTTGTCTCTCTGCTGTGGCAACCTAAGAATGTTGATTTGTCTCCTGTGGCTGTAACCTCACAGTCTCGCGTGGGCTGCTATAGATCAAAGCACAAAAAAAGGGAGAAGGGCTGGCCCAGTCACATTCCTTCTTTATATCAGAAAAAGCTTGTGCTTTCTCAGAACCATGTTTTGGCTCTTAGGTGCTTCCATGTTTATCATTTGGCCAGAATTGTGTCACATAGCCACCTCACTGCGGGAGAGACTGGGAAAGTGATTATTTACCCTGTTTAATTCCTGCTATGGAATATATCAAAGGAGAAAGAGATGGGATTGGATGCTGGGTAGGCCAGCTGGG